TCAGCCGGTAAGGTGCTTGAGGACTTGAGTTCAATTCTCAGAACTGTCATTAAAGAAGAATACAGGAGTAATGGCTTATACTTATGTTCCATTATTGGGGAGGTGGAGTCAGGTGGATCTCTGGGGCTCAATCGTCTGCCGGTTTAGCCTACTTGGTGAGTTCCAGGCCAGTGACAGTCAGATAGACAGTGCCTGAGGGACAGGCTTAAGGGGATCCTTTGGTCTTCAAATGTGTCGCACACACATGTGCACCCAAGTGAGCATGAATACACACACACACACACACACAGAGACAGACAGACAGACAGACAGACAGACAGACAGACCCAGAGGAGTTTATGTCTCTGTTTTGAGTGACAAGAGTTGAGAGTGCCCTAAAGTGCTCCTGTGAGCTCTTTTCACCTTTTGAACGTGTGCTTTATGACCTCGAGTTAAGCATGTCCCCAGATCTTTCCTTCTGGAACTCAGCATGTTGAGGAGTGCACTTACCCCTACAGTGTTTTCCTGAATGGATATGTGTAGCTCTCTGGATAAACCCACCAGGCTTCCCTTGCTCGAAGGTGCTGCTTTGGGAATGGCTCCCGCGTTCTCCTTACCTGCTGTAGGTAGGAGGTCTTTGTGGCCATGCTTATTTTGGTTTTGCACTTGGCAAGATGCAGACCCCTTGGGTTAGACTCTAAAAAAAGTGCCTGGAACCTGTGTTTAATGAGTATAACTGTTAGGTATGGATGAACCATGCTGTCTCCACGACATTCTGTCCTGATGAAGATCATTATTTCCTAGAGAAAGCAATTCCTGGATTGGACTGTTTTGTCTTAGTTACTTTTCTATTGCTGTGACAAAATACCGTGGTCAAAGAAACTTACAGAGGGAAGGGTCTATTTTGGGTTGGTGGTTCCAGAGGGCTAAGAGTCCTTTACCATGACCTCGGGAAAGCATGGCAGCAAGCAGCAGGCAAGGTGGCAGGGATAGCTGGGAGCTTACATCTCAAGCACAAGCAGGAAGCAGAGAACAGTCTCATAATGGTGTTAAGTCTTTAAACTCTCAAAACTCACTCTCAGAGACATACTTCCTCCAGCAAGGTCACACATCATAAACCTACCCAATCAGTGCTACAAGCTAGGGACCAGCTGTTCAAATATCTGAGCCTATGGGGGCCATTCTCATCAAACCGCCACATAGCTTAATACATTGATCATGGGGATTGTTTGCCTGCCTTCCTTCTGTTCTACCTTTCGTCCTCCCTTTCTTTTTAACATGTGATCTTGATAGACAGCCCAAGCTGGCCTCAAACACACAATCCCCCTGCCTCGGCCTCCCCAGGAGCTGTATCTGTGTGCCACCATTCCTACTTTAATTGGCAGACTCTTTAGAAATGGTTTCTTTGCATTCTGAAGGACCTTCGTTTTGGGGGTATTTAGAGGCCAGACCCAGAAAAGGCTCTGAAAGAAGGGGAATTAGGATATCACTACCTTTTGCTTCTTGGACTCCCCATGCCAAACTGCCCCCAGGTCCTATTGGTTTCTTTTTTGTCGTTTAATCTGCAGGCTACATCCCTCCCATCTCCCTCTGGCCCAGATTTGGCCATTCATCCTCTCGTCTGGTTTCTTGCAAATCTCCCCAGTTGCCTCTTGCATACCTACCTCAGGTTCATCTTAGTTAAATTTCTCCTTTGTGTCTGTCACAGCCCCCACCACATGCTCTCAATTTACCCCTTATTTTTTCCATGAGATAAAACTTTCAAAGTACAATAGACGTATTAGAGTCACATATATTATTTAAATGTTTTTTTAATTCTTTTTTCTTTTAAAACAAAATGAGTCAGGGGTGGTGGGTCTTATCATTCTAGCACTTCAGTTATGAGGCAGGAGGATTACAAGTTCAAGGTAATAATTGACACCCTGTCTCAAATTAAAAATGAAAAAGGAACCCATGAAATTAATTTTAACAAAATATCTCAAGAAACCAAATATATCCCTATTGCAAGGAGCCACTTGTTCATTCCGACCACCCAGAACTGAAATAATCACACCAAATTGTATTAATTAAATCACAACTTGTCCCATTAGCTCTAGCTTCTTACTGGCAACTCTTACATCTTAATTTAACCCATTTCTATTAATCTGTGCATCACCATAAGGTCGTGCCCTACCAGCAAAGTTCCGACACGTCTATCTCTGGCGGCAGATCTACGGCATCCCCTCTGTCTCTGTCCTTCTTTCTCCGAGCATTCAGTTCCATCTTTCCTGCCTACCTAAGTTCTATCCTATCAACAGGCCAAGGTAGTTTCTTTATTCATTAATGGTAATCACAGCACACAGAGGGGACTCCCACATCATATCTCAAATTATAATTTAAGACTGTAATTATCACGAGAAATAATTAATGAGATATCCTAGATTTTTTTCCTCAAATACATAGTGCATTTCTCATGCAGGTGCTGGATTTCTTTCTATGGGAAATAGTTTTTCTCTCTTTAGCATTTACAAAACTTATCTGCCTCCCTCTCACCTCAAATCCTTAACGAAGGATGGTCTCAGAGGCGATTCCCGGTGTGGTTACAGGTTGGGAGGCGGCATGGCTAGAAGACATTGTGTGGTGTGGCAGGAGGTGGAATTTGTCATGCTGTAGGAGGCAGTGCTGAAGCCCAGGACCATGCCTGTGGCTGCTCTGAAGGGCCTTATCTGTTTAAACAAGGTGAGCCCGTGCCTGGCTGCCTTTACCTGAGCTATAGATTCTCCTGTTTCTAACTTGCCCCAAGTTCCCACCCTTATGATTACTTGGCTAGAAGTCTGTTGCCAGGAGAAGTATGTGATTTGGAAAGACGCACTTCTGATAATGGCACTTCATTTCAGCCACTGGCCTGCCAGCCCCAAAGGAGTGAGACACAGGAAAGACCAGTTTTCAATGCAGGAAGCACTCTCCGACTCCACTTTTATTTTTAATTTTTATGTCACTTTTTGTTTTGTTTTGTTTGAAAAAATAGTTTTCATACACTATATTCCATCCTGGTTTCCTCCTCCTCCTCCTTTTTCTCCTCCCAGAGAGTAGGCACCCACCCAACTCCATGCCCTTTCTCTCTCTTTAAAACAAACAGGTATCCTGGTCAGTGATGGTACACACCTTTGAATTCCAGCATTTGGGAGGCAGAGGCAGGCAAATCTCTGAGTTTGAAGTCAATCTGGTCTACAGTTCCAGGGCTACACAGAGCAACCCTGTCTCAAAACAAACGAACAAAACAAAGCAAAACAACCAATCCTAGAACTAACAGGTAAACAAAAATCAAAGCATAGTAAACAAAAAGAAAACAACACAAGAAACACACACACAAAATCCTTAAAAACACAAAATTGGAACCCATAATATACAAGCTAAAGGCCAATAAGACAAAAAAAAATTCCCAAACAAAGCAATATGAGACAAAAAGTCTACAAAAATACCATTGAGTTCATATCATGTTGGCCATCTACTGCTGGGCATGGGGTCTACTCATAAGCCAGTGAGACTCCCTTGGAGAAAACTCTCTTTTTTTCATTGTTTCTTGGTTAGGGGTGGAAGTTCATATGCATCTGACCCTCTCAGTGCTGCGATACCATCCTCCTTGAAATTGTGCAGGCCCTGTGCATGCTGCCAGTTCATACGTGCGTCATTCCCGCTGTGTCTGGAAGGCACTCTTTCCTTGGAGTCTTCAATCTTTCTGCCTCCTCTTTCACTTAATTCCGTGAACCCTGAGGGAAGGGTTTGGTGAAGACATCCCATTTAGGACTGAATATTCCCAAGTCTCTTATTCTCTGTAAATTTCCAGTTATGTGTCTCTGTATTAGTTCCCATCTGCAGGAAAAAGCGTCCCTGCTGATGGCTGAGTGAAGTGCTGATCTATGAGTACAGCAGAATGTAGTTAGGAGTCATTTTATTGCTGTTTCTTCAGCAGAACAATTGTATTTGGTTTTCTCCTAGGCCTATCTAGTCTAGGTTCTTGGCCACAGGAGCAATGTCAGGCAAGGGTTCCCACCTTGTGGCGTGGGCCTTAACTTCAGTCGTGAAGTGGTTACTCCCATAGCATTTGTGCCACTATTGCACATGCACGCAAGGCACTGTTATAGACTGCAGAGTTTGCAGCTGGACTGGGGGTTACTTTTCTAGAGGAAAGTTTTTGAATGAGGGGATCTTTCAGGGAACGGGCTTCAATGCCAGTAATAAGGAGGGTGAAGCCCTGAGACCTGAAAACTGAGGGAGATGTTCATCCTTGTGGGTTTGACTAAGACCAGCTCTGCACTAAAGCAGCCTTCTCCATGGAATGTGGTCCCCATCTCTTAACCTGGTGAAGGTGGGTAACCTGTTTATTAAAGCAACATATGGTTTCCATCATCAGTCTGTGGCCAACTATAGCATCCAGGTTGGTACTATAAAAGCATTGAGGTTGCAAGCCAATGTATGCATTTGGAGTCAAAGATTTTAGCTTTGAATATCTAGGATTTGTCCCTTGGGAACCAGATGCCTACAAATTAGCCACTTAGCCCATTGCATTAATGTACACACAAAGTACCTGGGCTCTCATTGAAAAGCAGAATTGGATGCAACAGGTATCAGGTGGAGCGTAAGGCTCCTCATCTCCACTAAGCCCTTGAGCGATGCTGAGTAGCTAGGACTTAACTCCTCTGTTCCTTTGCGACCCTCATTATGAGAACTTTGGCTGCAGAGTGGTAGGCACATTGCACACCTAAGAGGGTGTCTTTCAGAGAGGGTGTGTGCTGGGCAAGAGAGCAGCGACATGACCTTTCCTCCTCTCACAGATCTTAGCACTGGTGGGAACCTCACCCTTGCCAGCCTTCCCACAGATTCCTTATGTTGCTGCCAGGTACCTCACGTCTTGGGAGATGTTTCATATTGATGTCTGGGAGCCTCTGACTGTGGCCGTATTTCCCACAGCTGAGGCAGGTCAGCTCAATCTGAGGTTTGGACACAGCACTTAACCCTGGCTCTCTGTCCTTTGCCTGCAGGTGGTTGCCTTCATGAAGTCCCCGGTGGGTCGGTACCTGGACAGGCACCCTTTCCTGGCTCTCGCCGTGCTGATGTTTGTTACCATGTCAGCCATCCCTGTTGGCTTCTTCCTGCTCGTCGTGGTGCTCACCTCCCTGGGGGCTCTCATGGGGGCCATATTACTGGAAGGTACTCTGCCCCAGGCTATGGGGAAGTAACTCAATAAGGTGGACAGTATTGAACATCTGCCATTTTTTATCAAAGACTCCTCTTTCTGGTGCAAGGCAGCTTGTCAGAGTAGCTAAAGCACAGGCTCTCGGGTTCCATCAGCCGCCCATCACCACTGTGATTTAGGGCGTGACTTACTCCTTCCAGGCTTTAAATTGGACAGGCAACAAAACAAGCAAGGAGACTCCAAGTGTAACGTAGTTTGTGAACAGTGGGGAATGGAAGCAACCAGAGGCCCCATCGGCTGATGCCAGAAGCCGAGGCCTAGCCAGGTGTGGACCTTCTGCCATTATAATTTTTAATGGGAAATCTCCCGACTTGAGAAATCTGAGTTAGCTGCCAGTATTTTAGATACCCTGGCCCAGGGTCCTCTCAGTTTCTGTGCATTTCAGGTGAAGGCACCTCCTAACTGTGCTTTCCTCCTAGGACTGATTATCTCTGTGTGCGGCCTCTCACTGCTCTGCATCCTCTGTAGCTTGGGCTTCGTGTCGCTTGCCATGTCAGGGATAGCCATGATCTCCTATGTGGTAGTGTCCTGCCTCATGAGCTACTGGTTTTCTCCCAGGTAAATGCATGTCAATGGAACAATTAATCTTGGGTATTTGGGGGATCCACATAGATAACTCTCTAATCCCACTTGGTGTCCAGCAGTTAAATTATAAGCGGCAGGTGTTCCTCACGGTTGCCCGTAGACATTAGCTGTCAGCTCCTCTTTTCCAGTAGAGCTTCATACATGCACACAAGCATTGCTGCCCTTGTCCATCACCCACAGAGCTCATCTCGCAGCTGTAGTAGCTTCGTCAGGCAGTTACTGATTCTTCTAAAAAAGATATCTGTTTACTTCAAAAGGTCAAATGGGGTAGTTTAGGAGGTTTTGGAGAAAGGCTAATGCATCAGGTAGCCATGCCCACCTCCCAGGGTGATACAGGAGCTGGGATGCTGCTATCCCCGCCATCTACCCTGGTCTCTGTCAGTGCGAGCATGTCAGCATAGTGAAGACGGCTCATGTTTGCTCTGTGGAGTCCTCCGCCAACAGTGTGGCTCCTGGGTCTGGAGGAGCAGTGAGTGAACTTTTTAGATGCTGGAGGGAACCCCAGCAGTGCTGAAATGCTAGGGAGACATAATGTGCTGCCTCCTGATACTCAGGGCTTTTCAGAGGCATCTTTTTTGATACACAATTTTTGTGCTGTGTATAGATATTCGATTCTTAAGTTCCCACGTCTGGAGTCTCTCTTGTACTTCACTAATTTTCGCTAATTTGATGACTGTGGCTAAGGTATTTGCTCAGTGCAGATTCTCTGTTGAACACTTCCCAGCTGAATCTCGTTTAACCCTTGGGTGAGCCTCATTCTGTGAGAGGGAAATGAAAGGCAAGTGCACATGCTAAGAACAGCCGAGAAGGAACTTAAATCTAGGTGGGCTGAGTCTGGTAAAACTCTCAGCCAAAATATAAAGCAGCTATAAAACATAGTCAACAATCTCTGGAAAGAGGCAGATAGTAAAGATTCTAGGGCATTTAGACCGTGGTCAGCCTCTCAGCTTGCTGCTGTACCATGAGAGCAGATAATAAGCAAATAAACTGGTCTGGCTGTGTTCCAATAAAACTTTATTTAAACTTTACGAAAACAGATGACTTGCCAAAGTTTGCCCCTATGGCCATAATTGATTTGCTAGTCCATGCTCTAAGAAAATCCACTAGCGCCCTTGAACATCTTAACAAAAGTTGGCTTTACCATTTGCCTAACATGTTCAAGGACCTGGATTTGATCCCCAGCATTCCCCCTTCCCCCCCAAAAGTTTATCCTGTCATTACTTTTTGTTGATGTGTCTGTGATCTTAAATTGCTCAGGGGTTGTTCTCACAAGATTACTTAGCTGATAATCCCTGGAATCGTGCCAGTTTCTCAGAAGTTGCTTTGATCACTATCAGCTTTCAAGGACACACAGTGCCCTATTTGGCTTATTGAGGGCAATGCTTTAGAGCTAAAATCCCTCCATCCCTTTGAACTCTGCTTTAATTAGGCTATGTGCTTAAAAAGTACACCGCAGAAAGTAGCTTAATGAGATGCTTGGGAGAAGCTCAGGTGGAAGCTACAAGAGTAGGAATCTGTTTGGAATCCCAGAACCAACATGAAAATGCCAGGCAAGGTATCCACTCGTAATCTCAGCAGTGGGGAGACAGGGAGAGTTGGGTGGCTGTGGCTTGCTGGCCAACCAGCCTGGCCTATTAGAGAGTTTCAGGCCAATGGGAGACCATGCCTCAAAGGATGTAGACAGTGTTCTTGAGGATGACACATGTGAAAATGTGCACACACACACACACACATTTACACAAACACACATACACACTGAAAGAGAAAAGAAAAGCACAATCAGAATGGTGTTTGTCAGTGGAGAGGCTCAACTTGGTTCTTCCTGTCTCCATCCTCTTCCCTAGACATCAGGTTCCCATTTGGGCAGAGATTCTCAACTTCCTGTTCTCAGGAGTCACTTCACCTTCTCAAAGCTACTGAAGCATCCAAGGCGTGGGTGCAGAGCTTTGATAACAGTCCCACTGCAAGTTACAGCAGCAACTATAGAACCGTCTGTCCTCTTAAAAGGAAAAATACTAACCATCTAAACAAAAAACATGTTAATGAAAAATGGTTGTATTTTATAAACAAAATTAATTTAACCAGGTCACAGGTCACATTGTCTTATATTTTATCAATAGCCTTCTTTATTTTTTCCTACCTCCTGCTATATGGCCAGGGCTGGCCTGGAACTCATGATATTGTTTAGGTTAGTCTCAGTTTCTTGATCCTCCTGCCTCAGCACACTTCCCCAAGTGCTGGAACTACAGGTGCACAGTGCCACCCTGGCTATCATAGTTTTCTTAACTAAATGCTCTGGTGGAAGTAGCAAGGCTAACCTTTGGACCTCTGTTCATGTGGTCTGCAGGAAATCTTTGGAGAAGCCGGACCCTCACAGTGCAGTGGGGAAGGGGAACCTTCTCCAGAGGACTGTGGACGATCTCTGATGGTATAGCTGAACTCCATAATGATTCTTGCTTCTAATTTAGTGAAAATGTGACATTTGTTTTCACTCTTTTACTAACATAGTCTGAACAAATCTGTACCACACAGGGTTATTTGAATTGATGCCTTGAGCATGAATCACTGAATCACATAGCTCTTCCACATGTTATGTGAAAACTCCCCTGTTCCTCTGTGAGATAACAAGAGTGGAAAGAACATAGAAGGTGTTAAGATAAATTAGATGCTGTGTTAGGAAAATCTTTAATGCTCAAGATAAAGATAGTCCCTCATTGACTGACCCAAAGTATAAGAGATCAAAGAGGAGCTACCAATTTGTTCTATGACTTAATGGGTTTGATCCTAAACTGAAAGATGAAAAAGGAAACAAATTCTAATATGGCCTTACGTAGGGAAATATACTAGACAGTTTCTCAGCAACACATTGTGATCTTCTCTGTAGATAATCTTAATGTCAAAGATGCTGGAGAGACTTCCTAGGGCCTGAAGGCTGGGGTAGGGGGAAGTAAGGGGCCAGGGCAGCATCTGTCTTTATAGAGCCACACGAATCATTCACCCCACATCACCCTGGGTCTCCCCAAATAGCCAGAGTGTGCCTGACTTCCCCCTACCCCACTCTATCTAATTACTGCAGACTGAATTCAGAATTTAGGCTTCTGAGGCAAGCATTCTCTAGGCCTTTAAAGTTATTGTTCTTGAGCTAGGTGGTGGTGGTGCACTCCTTTAATCCCAGAACCTGGGAGGCAGAGGCAGGAGGATCTCCATGAGTTGAGGCCAGCCTGGTCTACACAGCAAGTTTCAGGACAGCCAGGGCTACTCAAAAAAACCAATATATA